GCCCACATCTATACTATGCTAGATTGAAGGCCACCATCCCAAAAAATGTACAGGCAAATTTTATACCTTTCAAAATGGAAGTAGGGCAGTGATTAATTAGTATGGTAAATATTTCTTTTGCGATTAACTCGTGTTGATGTGCAGGAAGAGACATTCTCCATATGTGATAGATGTCTACTCCTGATTTAGTCCAAGGACGCGCATGTTTTTCCTGGCTGTTAATCAGTTTCTTGACATGTTCCAAACTGGATAACCTCTTGTTACTGAAGAAGGTAACTCATTCAAATTAGAATTTCTGATAACCAGTAATGAGCAGGTTCATTAACAGGATTTTCCCCATCAATTACTGCTTGGGACTCTCTTGATTTAAACAACTAAAAGAATGCTTTGAAGATGCTAAGTTAAGGGTATAAAAAGGCAGTAAAACAGCAAACAGCGTGTGTGCTTCAAGAGTGAGAAATGTCTCTGACACCAGTTGCTGATGTGCCCGACTTACTCGAGAAATTGAAGAGAAACAGACTGCCTCTTTGTCGCCTGTTTGGTGAGAAATCACTGCCTTATAGCTAATTACTGGACTTTGATTTGGTTTGGGCTCACTTGACTTGATTTTGAATACTTGTAAATAAAGTAAATAAATAAAGTAAATAAAGCCTTTCCGTCACTTATCGAATGAGGTGTCATGTCAATCCCTGGGCTAGTCTGGAATCCTAGGTTTTTATTTGCTAACAAGTCAGAGGTTGAGCACTTCTGAAATAGGTTATTAATAAAAATATCAATAAATCCTTTGTTCTCTGGGGAAGACAAATCACCAATATGTGGAACTCTAGGTTTGGAAAGGGAGATTTTTGACAAGGATAAACTAGAATAAATTATGTTCAAGTATTATATGAGCTGATAAAATGAAGTAGGGCAGGTCTGAGACAAGACAGAATCCATCTCATATCATGACCAAGAGGTCATATGTAGAAAATGTAATCTCTCTTAATCCTACCGTCCCATTGACTGTGGCACCTAAGCACAGCCTAATGGTCTCCCAAAAGCAGCTTGTGGGAAATGCAATGTATACAAATGCCTTCACCTTTAACACTAACACATGACCTTTTGAAATAACAGACCCTAAACTGAAATGCCCTTAGGCACAGGCTGTACTCAAAACTTTGGCCAACAGGCTTTACTTTAACTAAACATGCTTTCAGAGCTCTTTAAAGATGCACTTCGAGAACTGCTTAAGACCTCAACCTTACCTGCCGCTGTCGAACTTGCTCATCAATCCTCTTGGACACTTCTAAAGTCTTGGCAAACATAAGCACACCAGAAGTCATGCGGTCAAGCCGGTGAATAGTGTGCAACTCTTTGAGGTTATGCTCTTTTCCCAAGATGAAGATGACGGTGTTGTGTCGAAATCGGCCACATGGGTGTACTGGCAGAGAAGAGGGTTTGTCCACAACAACCATCTCATCATTCTCTGCCAAAACCTGAATAGGCTGAGCGGTGACTGGAGGCTCATGGCGATGCGCAGTATTCCTCAGGAAGTCATTATTCTACAAGCGAAACAAAATTACTGGAAGAGAGAATCTCCCAAAGTGTCCTTTTCGTTAGAAATAGGGAACATATGTATCCTCCATTCCAGCACAAGTGTGGACTCAACAGTGTTTAAGAAACAAACTGAAAATATATTGGAAAATAGGATATACTGCAATGACTCAGCATATTGGGCCATCCAATTCAATTACCCGCTTCAAGTAATGATACTGTGCTTAATGTTTCTTAGACAAGGGAAAACTCAATACAACCCACTACTGTTATGCAAAACTACCCTTTTCTCTCCTCCGTGTAAATCTTATTTGCTGCAGGTTTGATGCTGTAGGTTCTGGAAAACTGTTTCCTTTTACCTTTAGTTTTGAAGCTGTACTTGAAGTTACACAGTACTTTCTAGAAAGATAAAATGTTACTTTTAAACTCCTGCAGCAGTGAATTCTGCTGACAGGTTTCTTGCATAAGTTTATCTGCTCCTAACAGCAAGACTTCTTACTTTCCAATTACGGCACTTACAGAGGCTACTGCATTTTCACACAGCACCCCAAGACACCCTGCACCATGAAAACACGAATATTCAAGTTAGCTCCAGAACAAGCAGAATAAGCGGCTGTACCCAAGTTTGATTAGATTATGGCTTGTTAGCCTGGGCCCACTGCCACGCTAATGCAGTTGCATGGCTTCAGTTTCCAGAATGAGTGCACACAGATTTAGTGGGGCTCTCTCTGCACAGCCCAGACTTGTACTCGTGTGCGCGACCTGTCCCATTTTATCAAGCCAGGAAGAGACAAAACCCCATCTTGCACTATGTCATCATCACAAGTAAATCTTGCCTACAAACCGACAAACCACCTCAGCAGCTCCTGAATGCAACTGAAAAACCACAGCACAGGAACGGTGACAAGCTGACATCACACATCAGCTCCGTTCCTCTGGCACATGCACTCTGCCTACTACAGCAGCTATAGTCAGGAGCTAGCGAGCAACTTTATTATGTGACATTCAGCTAATTTCAAGACTTATTCTGGGCTCTTTGGCATGACCTTTATTTCAGGCCCTCACTAAAAATCTGAAAGGCAGATGCCCCACCTCCACACCAGGCTGGATTGAAGGCTGCCGTTGACAAAGCTCATGGGCAAATTGGAACATGGCAGCTCTCGGTTGTCACTTGCTTTTCAAGTGTGGAAAACACAGCACAGCTGTTCTTGTGTGGCAAAGAGCTGGGGAAGCTCCTCACGGGGCAGAAGGGCACTGACACTCCTGAGCTCCCTGCTGCACTCCTCAGAGGATCCTCACCCCCCCAGGTGCTGCTGTGCCTGCCTCCCCTTGCTGCCAAGATGAGCTGCCCCCCACGAGCTTTTCCAGCTCCTCTGCTGACCCTGGGGCCCAGCCGGCGGCTTTCTTTGATTCAAGGCCCCGCTGCTGGCCGCGCACCTTGAGCACGACGTCGAGGTCCCGCACGGGCTGCTCGTTGAGGCGGAGGCGGCCTGCGCGGGCGGCGACGCGGTAGTAGGCGAGCGGGTGGGCGCGGAACTCGGAGGCGAAGAAGTGCAGCAGGCTCTTGCCCACCCAGCGGCCCTTGCAGTAGGTCTGGAAGTCGAAGTAGTAGGGCCGCACCTTGCGCAGGCCGTCCTCGAAGTAGTAGCTAGTCTCGGCGAAGTGCGCCTCGCTGAAGCTCACGCCCGGGTTCAGCTTCCGCGGTGGCGGCACGAAGCGCTCCGCCCCACCCCCCTGTAGCCGCCGCCTCTTGGCCGCGGGCGGCGTGTCCTGCTCGCCGCCCTCCCGGCCCGGCCCGCCCGCTGTCGCCTCCGCCATTGCCGGGCTTCTCTAGGCCGATGCCGGGCACAGCAGGCCCCGGCACAGCATCAGTAGCAAGCGCCCACGTGGCCCCGCCCGACGCGGAGCTGTGACGCAGGCTAATCGCCTCTCTCGGCGCCGGCTGACGCACAATCCGGGCGATGCTGCAGTCGCAGGCCCCCTGGGCCCGGCGAGGGGGGCGGTGCCGGCCCTGCCGTTGGAGGAAGCTGACGCAAAGCCGCGGGTGGGCTGGAGCCCGCCGCACTTGCAGCCTCAGCGGGGGCCGGGGCAGGGAGCGGCCGCCCTGCCTGGAGCCCTCCCCTGGCGGGAGCGCGGGTCTCTCCAGCTCCAGGCTCCGCTCCACCCCTGTCCCCAGCGGCCGGCTCGGCCTCAGGCAGGGCTGGGCAGGGCGCTGCAGGAGCTGGTGTTGCACCTCACCCCATCCCTGCTTAGGCCCCCAGCTCAGTCCTCTTGTGGCCTGGGGGCAGCTCCGCCCCCGCGGGGAGCCCCGAGTGTTGCACCACTCCGCTTTGCCCCGGCCGTGCACAGGGTGGGGACTGGGCTGCCCTGAGGAGCGTGGTGTGCTCAGCCTGAGCAGGGGTGCGCTACCTGCAGCCAGGTGGGCAGGCAGGGGCAGCACTGCCCCCTGCCAGCTCTCGGGCTCTCCCCAGGCAGGGAGACATCAGCTTCATGCCACTGGCACAGCAATGATGCTGGCTCCCCTCTGCTACAGGTTTGAGTCCCCTGACAAGTGCGCGTAGCTTGGCAAGCATGTGCACAGCTGTGCCAGTGTGCGCTAGGCTGTGCATAGCTGTACCACTACAGTAGTTCAATTCAAAATAAAAACATGCAATTAGTTACATTTTATTTTTTACCACTGCTGCCAGCCTGCCTGGTACACCATGCCACTCTGCCTCTGCTTGCAGCAGCACTGCTGACTTTGGGGTGGGGACTGTCATATATATGGTCACCCTATCTAAAAGGCCCATGGGGCTGGTTCTACATGACAGCAGCGTGTGAGCACCACGTGACAGGAGGTGCTGTGCATCACACCACAACATCTAGCTGCAGTTGTGGTTGCTAAAAAGTCTGATCTTTAAACAGGAGAAAATAAAATAGTGCCACCTGTTCCCCATCAACTCACATACTCGTAATTAATACTGGTTTATTAAATTAGTGATTCCAAAAATATCCCCACGTTACAAAGAAACTTCAAACAGCAGCAAGTTAAAGGAAAGTTGCAACCCTACCTCATGCTTGTCATATCACACATTTTGGTTCCTGGGAACATAAAGCCTTTGTGAAATAAAGCAAGGCACAAAACAGGTGCAAAGTGATTAATTCACAAGCCTTAGGATACCTTCTCAACTCTAAATAAGTATATAGGGCTGTTCACATCAAGTCCTAGTTTTGGAAGGACCTGGCATTGCTATAGCAGATGAACTACGTGGTATCCTCGGAAGCAAACCACATTTAATGTAGGAGATTAAAATGACAAATGAGAGCTTGCTTGTTGCACTGGATACATTTATAACCTCTAAAGTATCAAGACATTTTGTAATTCTTCAAGCATTAGATGAAGTCAAGAATGCAATACAGTTCACAATCAAGTTCAACACAGATTTGAGAATTCATATCTACCTGTTTGTGCACTCACCTCTTCTTGATTTACACAGATATTTTATTCATGGCCGAGCAAACAAACAGCTGTACTCTGTTTTAACATGGGTATCGAGTAAGAGATCAGACAAGGGCTCCAGTGCTTGGTAATTTGGCCACTACTTGATCTGGAGGAATCTTCCTCCCTCACCCTTCCAATTTGAATTCTTAAAAGGAACACTTGCTTTTGCAATGTGTCCACTAAGCAGAACTTCCATTTAAAAAGCAAAGCCATACACATCTACAGTTCTTTTTTTCAGATACTGGTTCATCTGTTTTCCGAGGTTATTTCATAAGTGATATCAATCTCTCAGATTTCATCCCTAAAAGGGAGGGGGAAAAGGCAACCAAGTTACTGTTTTGTATAGATTCAGCATCTTCCTTCGGTTCAATGCAAGTATCAATATGAATACAATATTTATTACATGAAAGAACAGGCTGTGAAAGCTAGCAAGCTCCATTAATCTTTATGTAACAGAGCAGTGTGCATCTCCTATTACTGTGTGCAAGCATGTTAAGTCCCTTCCTTCTGCGTTTTGCAGGCAGCATCAGCTAGGAGTCTAAGGAATCTTTCTCCAGTAGTGTCAAGGGACTCTGGAGAAGTAAACTTGTCCCACAATGTCTTGCCAGTGAGATAGGTAAGCAAGAGAAAAATCATTCTCAAGGGAACAAACTTTTTACCGAGGCCACTGCTTCTCCTTATCTGTCAGAGGAACATAGATCACACCCATCAGTTGTGTTTCCACAATTTGCCCATCATTAGTTTTGTCATACTGCATTAAAACCTGGTTTCCACCTTCAGGACCCACTGGCAAGATCAACCGACCTCCTGGCTTCAATTCATTTAGCAACTGGCAAAGAAAAGAATCAATATTAGTAAGGGCCAGAATCAGATGAATAAAGAAAAGACAAAAGCTAGTTGAGCCACATGATTATTTTCTGCAGAAATACAGGATTGCTGACTTCATGAAAAACAGAATGGAGTGACAATTAAGTGTTTTTCTTCTAGCTTATTTGAATTCCATTACAACCACTGATGTGAAACAATATCTGTTCATTTTTACCTCCTTTGGTACAGTGGGTGCTGCCGCTCCAACATGGATGGCATCATAAGGGGCTTCTTCAGGATATCCCTTTCTACCATCTCCAACTGTGGAGAGAAAAAATTAAGTGTGAAGATGCTTGTTCAGAGAGAAACCCAATCTTTTCTTGCGTGTGACACCTAGATGAGAAAAGCATTTGTGGACAAATTATATTCAAGAACTTCAGACTGCCAAGAAAAAATTGAATTGTACCAGAAATCTCTTAGAAAGGGAGGCTACTATTTGAAGTTACTTTTTAAAAGAAGAGAAAGGGAAGAGATTCTGTAAACTGGCATTACTTGTACTGTATAGAAAGAAGAAAAAAAAAAAAAATCAGAATTGGGAGGGGTCCTGGGTAACACAGGTTAGTGTGTACAGGTGGGTCACAACAAAAGAAGAGTTTTGTAGTTTATGCTGGAGATCTGCTCAGAGAAACAAACCAAGTTATTCAGTATGATTATCTGGTCTTTACTGAAGAGGCTCCAGACTGAAAGAAAAGTGTTATTACACCCTTATAAGGAGTAGTGAAAAAACTTTTCAGAAATGGATAGATTGAATGGCACTTGCCTGCTTCATATGGCTCTAATCAATGCTATTCATCATCTAGCTTTAATTCATACTTAGCACAGAGAAACCAAGTTCATTGGCAGAAAAATAAAGACAGTAATTTACACACAGCAACAAATGGTCCATAGAAGCACTCAGATATCATTGTGACAGGTGCATGCATTCGTATCACTAGTAAATCACATTGGCCACTTAGAAAAACAGATCTCAATAAGCAGCAAGTGCCAAGTGCTGCCAGTTTAGAGTATGTTCATAGAGGGGAATGAAATACTGAGGTTACAGGCTACACAGCTCACCTACAAGTTTCATACGGCCAGAGGTGAGCAGGGTTGCGTCATCTTCTTCGACATTTCTTCTGGATTCATGGACCAGCTTTTCAATGTGCTCTATGCCCACTGCCTTCCCTGTGGGACCCACCTGCAAAGACAAACATGGATACGCTAGCTCATGCATAGGTTGACTGTATTTTACAGAGTGCCTTACCATTCCAGTAGAGAGATGATAGAGAATTAAAGAAATTGTGTCTCATAAACCTTTGAATAAGAGGCTGTATTTAGTTGTAAACGTTGTACTTAGAGTGATGTGAAGACCAAGTTATGTTTGTTATTAGCAAAAGCACTGTCCCCCATGGAAATTCCTAGTAAATCTTCCTTAGGAAAGCTTTATCTACCATAGTAAGGTTGTAAAAAAATAAATAGTAGGTTTCCTTGGCAGGATTTGTTTGTAATGAGATACCCAGCTCTGTGGCAGGGGTGTGCCTTGTCTGGGCTTCTAGAGCTCTGAGAAATTATTTTTGGAAGGGCCTTTCCTTTCTGTTATCTTTTTTCTCCAATTTAGGAAGCAATTAAGAAGTGTCAGAATGGCATGTGCAGAAGCAGATTAATTCACTCCCTTCAATTTTTTTGGATTGATTTGGCCGCTACGATGATGCTACTCTTGCCAGATACAGCACTAGTTTAGCCTCCAGAACTGGCTGAAACAATCATATTTATCTCATCTTAAACTGTTCCGAGGAAGAAAAGAAAACACAATGGACTTGTCCTTTTTAAGAAGCAGGTTACTTCTTCCCATATCTGTCACTAGTAAGGAAGCAATTTTGTACTTTACTCACCATTCTTGCAAAGCAAGCTGTAAGATATCCACTTCCTGATCCCACATCCAGTGCCTTTGCTCCTTCCACTAGCTGATCCTTCAGTAATTCCAGAGCATGAGCATGCTGTGGAGATATCAACAACATGCTCTTATACACTTTCACAGAGTTATTAATTTCACATATTACTCTCCCAAACTTTCCTTTTTTAAAATAAGTTATTATTGGGCAAGCAAGATTGTGTTTTTTGCGGTGAATTAAAGTTGCAGTGTTGACTTTTTGGTACAGTTTTTATTAACAGTATCTTTGGAAGTTAACAGGAAAATAGATTTCACTTGTGAGATGTGGAGCAGGAAAAAGAAGGCTTGTGGAGAAAGAGGATCTCATGCAAAAGCAAATCTTTAATCCTGTAATAGTTTGATAACAACTGTTACCTTGAGCATGCTATTTCAAGTGCTTTGTTTTTTCAAATTTGCCCCATCCTTCTTTAAAACTCCTAACAAGCTGTTCACACATCAGACACCCAGCAGCAGCCAAAGCAATAAGGAGTCATGTGTATAGGACCCACATCACCTTGATATTACAACTTAAGATAAAAGCTATTCCCAATTTTGCTAGACTGGAAAATTTTCTCTCACCATGTGGGGTGCACTGATTGTAGCCTTGTATCCTGAAAGGAAAACATTGACAAAGTCAATAATTAGTAAGAAATTAAGATGAGAGGAATAACTACCGAGATATTTTCTGAAGAGAAATGTTTTCACTCTTCCAATATTGAAAGCTTTTTTTTATTTCTCATTTCTTGGAGGTACGAAACTGAAAGCTTCCTCCTTTAGGAGTATCAGTAGCAGCAGAATAGTTGTCAGGCAGACAAATATATAATATGCATATGCAGTTGGGTCATTACACCTTATAACTTCAGGAAAATGCTGTATTGTAGAATGGCTTATCCGATTCCAAAAAACGTGGATGCTACACTGTTGTGGTCACGCTTGTTATCTGCACATTTTATAAAATAAGTTGCAATGAAATTATTTAGAACAAATGCGAATCTCTGTGAATGGGAAAAAGCCAAAATGGCTCCATACCTTGAACATAAGGGTTCCTACAGCTTCACTCAACATGTTGACCTACTATTGTTAAGTATATCGCCCACATAGTGTTCAAACTTGTCTCAGCCATGCCAGATGAGGGGGCGATTGCGAAGAAGAAAGATTTTTTTCTCTCCAGTATTTACTGCCTTTAAAAAAAAAATCCCATTGCTTTCTGATTTGCAAGGAGCAGGGAAGTTATTTAAAAGAAGTTGTCTTTACTAGTCAGGTCCTGAGAGTGCCCAGTGCCTTACACAGGGCATATGGGAATGCCATTTTCCTCTGGGTTTCTACTGTTTGAATTTATCTGATTTGTTTGTGAATCTACAGGGGGTTCTGCCTTGGTTTTTCCTTTTTCTGGTTCACTGTCAGATACCAAGTGTCCATAGCTTCTACTGAAGTCAACTGGACTTGTGGGTTCCAAGTATTTGTAAAATTTAAACAAATAAAGAATCATCTGCCAATGTTCTGGGCTGATCTTCAAACCATCAGTCCAGTCTACTTAATAAGCAGTTTACATTTCAAAAAGTCAGTGTCCTCTTGTCAGTGTCCCTCTTGTCATGTCTTAGCACTCTCAACTTCCAAAGGGCAAATTCTCAGTTTTTCTTAGTAGAATTCTCAAGGTGGCTCAAGATGATTGATTATTGATGCATCAAGTAGCGTAAGCACAGATAGACTGCCCTCATCCCCTTTTCTAGCGCTCAGCCACTATTCCAAAGAAAGGCTTGCTAGCATAATGAACCAAGACCTGACAACTCGCCCACATCCTTCCACCCTTGTAGATCATGGTAACCACTGAACACAAGAACTAGGGTTTTATGTAGGGTTAGGTTCATTAGGCTACTGGGAAGATGAGGGTTGGCGAATTAGCTGGGTGTATACAGCCGTAGGAAACAACTGTACATGACCCCTGAGGTGCTCCAACAGCTGTTTGCTGTTGCTTTTATTATAAAGGGTGCTGCTTCTCTACTCAACTGTGCAGGACCTGCTGATGAGCTGTAACTAAGTGGAAAAGTAGCACCCTTTGAAGTTAAAAGCAACAGCAATCAGCAGAACAGCTCATTCTTAATTTGGCAAAACACTGAAAATTAAGTGGGTCAGACCCACCCTGATACAAAGAATTCTGGGTTTTACTGTACACAACACTAGAAAACCACCACAAGTTTCTTACCTATTGACTGCGGTGAATCCATGTATGGGTAGTACTTGATGTAGTGTGCTCTGTCTGTTGCCAGTAGCACGTCAAAGACTCTCTCAGATTTAATCACACCATTTTCTACAAAAAGAGATGGAGAGGACATTAAAAATTCAGTAATGCAAAGTGTACAGGTTTAAAAGAAAGGCAGGTGGATGGCTAGCCTGGTAAGGAGGGTGATAGGGCTTGATAACAGTGCTACCTGTGTCCACATTACTGACCCGCAATTAACTCAAACCAGTAAGGGGTAAAAGCAGCTATCTTGCAGGCAGGGCCATCCCAGGAGGGGGCAGCAGTTGGGGCAACTGCCCCAGGCCCTGTGCTTTGGAGAGCCCTGCGGAGCCGGGTGGACTGCTACGCTGCCGCTGGCTTCACATCCGGCCACTCGCCACCGCCGCTGAATCTGCCGCCAGCTTCCTTGTGTTCAGGGGCGGGGCACCGCACAGGCTGATTTGCCCTGAGCCCTGCACCCTGCTTGGACTGTCTCTGTTTGCAGTAGCTGTTGGATGCCTGGTGTGGAAAGGGTTGATGGCTTTAGTCCAGCTACCAGCAGGAAGGTGTTTACATAACACTACATTTGGCAGTCTCAATAAATAGGCCAACGATTAATGAGGCAGAGATTGAATTACACTCTCCCTTCTGGCAGTGGTTCCTTTGGATCTGGTTTCAAGGCACACTGGCAGGGTGAGAAACATGGAATTATGTAGTTTCTTCATTCCTACTTTTCCTGTAGCAATCCATGCTGTGACAAATAGTACTGTGACACTAGCAGTGGGGGCCAACCTTTTTTGGCAGGTGCAGCGCAAACTAAGCCCCACATGCTCCTTGAATGCCACTCTGATCCCTTTCCCCATCTGCTGTTCTGCTTTCTGTTCTACACCCATTGTGCCATGTGCCATACATAGAGGTTGCTCATGCTGTGTGATGTGTGCTACAGGTAGGCTACCCCTGCTCTAGTAAGAGAGTTCCAAGCTGTTACAATTACAGCCTGACTCATTGTCCAAAATGGAGGGGAAATGCCCAAAATTTCCAATCCTTGGTGGTAACAGCCTGAAGAACTGACTGCAAGAAGAGCTTGCTTTTATCAGACAGAGTTTCCCTGTGGTTAGAATGATATAATCTTCCAGAGCATCTTAAAGAGATGGCCATACTGTTTTAGTGAGCGGCGAGAGAAACTCAAATCAAAGATAACCAAGGTGGACACTGATATGCATTAGCTTTCCCCAGTATATCTAGCATCATGACCCACTTCTAACTCTAACCAGAGCACGTTTAAGTTGGTAGACTCTGAAGCTTAGGCATATAAAACTGCAAAAACTCAAGCATGACATTTTAGAACAATGGATAAAATATGCAGCTATTATAAAGTGCCAACAAGTTTCATCAGCAGCTTTAAATATGAGCCCTGAACAGAGCTGCTGTTGATACTCACTGTAAAGATTGTTGATAAGCTCAGCATGTGTTTTCCCACTTGAAGTCCAGGCCATGGTTCTGGCCAGAAACAGTCCCATGAGCGCAGTAAATACAGCAAATTGCAGCACAGAGCTCATTACAGAGAAACTTACAGTGGTGTCCCAGCCCTGGTCTGACAGTCACAGTGAAAGAGAGAGACATACAAGTGAGCTAGGACACCCAGCACAAAAATCAAAACCCTTCCCAATCCTAACTGTTGTGTAAGTCTTGTACATACAACTCTTGCAGCCATTACACAAGTTTAGACATGTACTCTATTATTGTCCTGGAGAATCAAGACCTCTAACCATGAAGTAGCCACAGCTACTATGAGGAATTACAGTCCTTATGCTGCTAGCTGTGATGGAAACACCACTTCCTAGGGAAATGAAATGACATGACCAAACATGCATGGCAGTGGCTTTCTATCACCGTCGTCTTGGCCTGGATTTTAACCAACAATTCAGAAGTAAAAGGTTCTATATCTAGCTACTCATTTTCTGTACTTCCCAACCATCAGTGAATCATGGTTTTAGCAGATTTAACTGTTCCCAGTAACACCTGACAAGCTACTGTAATAAGCTCCACAGTTATTTTTCCATTATTGACAAGTTAACCAAGTTTAAGCAATGTGGGCAACACGGCCTCAAACCTTGCTGCTACAATCATAATTATATAGGCTGTTATTATGGCACATACATGAAGCTGCTTTTTCTTTTCTTTTATTCCCAGAAACAGAAAATTGCTCCTCACTTAAGAAGCCAAGGCAGGGAAGAAAAGCCCAATCATTTAAGTGCCTTATGACACTTCTCAGGTTACTAGGAAGCAACCTGAAGTATGGCTCTGCCATGAAAAAGAAAATGTCATTCTCTTATTGCTTATGTGCATTTGGTCGGAACTGCTGACTATATTGACAAGTTTTAATAGGTTTTAATTCCATTAGCCCCAGGGAGGCAGCACAGCCATGGCTTTGTTTTGTTCCACACTGTGCTTCAACTTCTAGTCAGCCAGGAATCCCAAGACAACCCAAATGTTTTTAGATTCCAATCTTGCAATGCCGGTGGCTACCTTCAAGATAGGTGTCAGACAGCTTAATCTGGCTTGCTGCATCATTATTACTAGTGATGATGTGCAAAATGGAAGAAACCTATATTTCCTCTAAGAGGCCAGGCTGAACCTGCAAGGCTGGGGGTTGGAAGAAACATTTACTCGTGATTCAAATACATTCGATGCAGAGCCAGTGACGAACAAACACAAAACCCACAATGCTATTTCAGTAACGTCTGAAAGCAGAGCTACACATCAAGTCTCCTATCACCCTGCTAAGCAGTACAGAGTAATGCCATCCAAGACATTAGAACAGGTCACAGGAAATGCATCCAACTGAATGTACAGAAGAAATCCTACATAGAAAAAAACTCCATAATTTAGGCTAAATAGGAGTTTGTCCAGGATGCTGGAATTAAATCAAAGTTACTGTAATTTCTTGTAATGGTAGAGGTTTTATTACTCTTACATGCTGCAACAGTTTACAAAATAGCAAGTGCCCTGCTTTTAAATAGAGTTAATAAACTACTATTAGCGTACGGGCAACCTGGGAGCCAGGCCATAGAAAACAGTTTTGAAAATGGCAGCCTTGTGCAGCCATATTTTTTTATATGCAACTGCTAGGTAGATGCGGCATCTTTAGCAAGGGTGGATATTCGAACCTCTGATCCCTTTACTACCCACACATTTATCAAAAATTAATAATCTTTATATGCCAAACAATGAATATGGAAAGGTTTGACTTACAGCCTACTGTACCAACACACACTTTTAGGGTTGAACTAAAGCAAAAATGTGCTTTTAGGGTTGTGCTAAAGCAAATTCTTTTTGCTTGAAAGGTTTTTTACTCTTTAGTCATAGATGTTTAAGCATGTGAACCAGAAATTACACTAACTTTGTCATTCATTAAAAAACTGAATAATGGTCAACTCAACACTGAGCAGGGATAGTCGAAATTAATCAGGAAATATTACATCAGTGCCAAGCAATACAAGTACAAATCTCTGGGTGGCAGAACGGAGATCTAAAAAGAGTTAATATTACGAGCACGAAGCAGGGCATTTGTTTTCCATTTCAGAATGTCACTTGCAGAAAGCTGCCTAGCATTTGTTTAGTTTTCACCACACTTGATTGGTTTTAATGAACTTAGAGAGAAGGTTAAATAAAATCAAATGCAGTAAAGTTTGGAAGGAAGCTCTAGGGCAGTAATGCACATTAGAATAAACCTCACTTCCTATAAAATATAATTATCTTGGAAGTCAATGTTGAAGAGCAATGACTCCCCAAATAGAAATACAATCAGACTACTCTTTTGACTTCATCTGGTCTCACCACTAGCAGCCAAAACTGATTGCCTCAAAACAAGCCAAAGACCTCCAAATATACTCAGTCAGCTATGCAATGCTAGAAACAGGGGAAGAAGTGAATTTTATGAGGAAAGGCTGAAAGAACGAGGATTATTTCATTTGGAGAAGAGAAGATTTGATACCTGGCTGCAAGTATCCAAAGGGCGATTATAAAAAGGATGGAGATGGGTTTTTCTCTGTGGGTGACAGGACTAGAAGCAATGGCCTCAGGCTCCAGTAGAAGAAATTTAGGTTGGAGAGGATGAGGAGGAACTTGACTCTAATGGCTGTCATACACTAGAACAGGCACCTAGGGACGTCGTGTCTGTCCAACCTGCTCTTGAACACTTCCAGGGAAGAGGATGCCACTTGGCTGGGATGGTTTAGTCAGGGATGATCCTGTTTTGAGAGGGCTGTCCCTTCCAACCCTACTCTCCTATGCTCTTTACCCCAACAGGGGATTGGTTTATGGCGATTCGGGTAGGGACGATCCTGTCTGGTGAGGGGGTTGGACTAAACGACCTCTGCAGGTCCTTTCCAGGCCGACTGATCTATGATTCTATGAATTGAAGATGACTGAATTACCTTCACCTTATTTTAGCTTCCCAGACTACAAACGCTGTAAGGGAGTAGAGCTGAGAAGCAAGGGGCTGCAGTGGGTCTCCTACGGGGACAGGGAGGTAAGCCCATCTAATACTATAAAATCTTCTTTAATCTCATTACAGAGGGGAGGAAAAAAACCTTCAGGACTAATTACAAGTGCTCATTTTAAAGGCCATGAGGGCACAGCTGGGGAAGGAGGAGACATGTCTGCCACAGACATCTGAGCCTGCAGGTGAAGCCCTCCCGTAACAAGAGCCTTTGAGCCCAGAGGCAGCACTGCTGGCTTAGAGGGCCCTGCTATGCCTTCAAATGAAAGTGGCTGGAAACCAGCTACAGAGTTGTTACACGCTTCCAAGCACTAACTGTAGCTAGCTGGCTGGCTCGTTTGAGAGCTGCGCGGTCATTGTTGTGGTGGGATAATTACTGCACGTCTCGCACAGTTGACTGCGCAACGTATAACGTACAGCGAGGGCCTCAGACCCCCCCAGCAGCGGGGCTGAGGGTCGCAGTACGCCTGCGCAGCCTGGGCCGGCCC